GGTCTGGGCCTCCCTTCTGAAGCTGCTGCCCCCGCGACCCGACCCCGGATAGGCGGAAGAAAATGGATGGATGGATGGATGGATGGATGGATGGATATAAAAAAGAAAATAATCATTAACATGATTTTGCTTTTTAAATGTATTTCTATTTCAAGTGTGTACAACATACAGTGATCTGAGTATGAATAATAACTCTCATTTATTTTTAACATTCAGTGTTAATGTAACTGACTGTTCTCCTTCCCTTCCTCCTAAGCAGATGAGCAGGAGGAAGTGTGTGCACAACGCCTCTGTCTAAGTCAACATAATATTCTCCCCAAAAGAAATGTTGTGTTTTTCTGACAGAGAACAGTCACACAGCTGTACGCTGTGCCCAACAGAACGAGTCCAGTTTTGGTTTTCAGTGAGCGCAGAGTTTTGAGGAAGCTGGAARCTTCAAGAAACCTAAGATGGACCACAACCATTTGGGAAAATGTAATTTTTGATCACTGCAAACGAGAAGTTTCCAAAAACTTATAGGTTTTAACCTGAGTCTCTTGTCAATGAATTAATAGAAGAAAAACATTTCCTTTGGGAAAAATATATTTTCATTCTAAAAAGGTTTAAACATCCAGACCTTTTCTTAACTAGATGCAGAACATCAAGTTTACAATCCTTTTCATCTTTATCTGTTTTATAAACCTTAGTGCTTCGTCTTTGGTGTTATTTTTACTGTTTTAGTCATGATTCAATGAAAGTGATTCATGCTATGTTTTTTGTAATAAATTACCCTAAAAGRCAAAGCTGGTTCCTCATCTTTGAGTATTTGGGTCACTTCAGTAAATATGAGTCTGATTAAAAATGGTGAATAAATATTGGTCAATAACTGACCTGGTGCCCCAACAGGTAAAAGTAGTGTAGGACAGAAATAGTTTTTACCTTTCTGTTTCTCTCCTAACAATTCGCTACATGTGAATGACCTGGTAAATGTGTCAGAGCTTTTTAAGTGTGTTCTATTTGCAGATGATACCACAGTTTTTGGTTAAAGATATAGAATGGATGTTGGAGATGATGCAGACTGAATTTGTAAAWAAAAAATTGGTTTCAACTTAACAAATTATCGTTAAATTTGGATAAAACAAATTATATGATATTCAGTWACAGTAAGAGAACTGTAGATGTTTCATTTAGAGTTGGTGTTGAGATCTGTAGAGTCAGTGAGGTGAAGTTTCTGGGTGTCATTGATGAAAAGCTGACATGGAGAACTCATATAGGTTATTTAGGAACAAAAATAGCTAAATCTATAGCAGTACTGTACAAAGTAAAATAGTTATTCAATGATAAAGCTCTGTCTATGCTGTATAAGGCAATAATTGCTCCACACTTGAAGTCTGGGGTGAAGCATAAAACAATTTCAAATCCTGTTTTTGTTTTACAGAAACGAGCTGTAAGAATTATTACTAGAAAACATTACAGTCTTCCATCAACTATTTTATCAACTGGAGTCATTGAAGTTCTATGATTTGGTCGCCAGAAAACTGAAGACGCTCCTCTGTCTAAAAGTCTGGTTACAGACTCACGCTACAGAGGTTAGAGACCATGCACCTGGCAAACAACTGACACCAGAGCTCACTCCTCTCTATGCTAAGAAGTAGAAAAGAGGGAGACATGAAGAAAACAAACAACCAGGCAAAGGAATATTATTTTAATCTATCATACAATTAATTGATTTATCGTTTATTGTGACAGGCCTGCTGGAGGATGATGTTAAAAATGCCAGATCAATATCCATATTTAGGAGAATGATAAAAGTTGTTTCTTGAAAAAAATTAGAAATAGCTTAATGTGAATCTATATGAATTGTTGTTGGAGTTGATGTTTTTGTTAAGATTTTTTAAATTTTTTAATGTAAAATTGTTAGTCGTTTACATAAGATGTCACCTTTTAAAGAATGCGTTCCTTCATGTTTTGACCCACCTAAATATATACACCAACATATGGGGAAAAATACTAAATAATGTGAAGCTTAACCTTTAGAAAACACATTGAAAATGACCAATAAAGAAGAATTTATGTTTAACAGGGAAGAACTGAGATTGAATTCTTTAACTGCAGAAACAGTTTTGAGACACATGCAACTTCTTGTACCTTTCTGTCCTGCTCACTCAGACTGCTCTGTGCTGCCTGCCTCAGCAGCTCCAGGACAGAAGACATGCTGCTGAGAAGCTCCACCACTTCAGATGAACGTTGCAGCAGAGCAGGACTCGTGGACACCATGGCTGCTGCTGTGCTGTTTTCCCCTTTTCCACTCCTCAAGGACTTTGCCTCTTCAAGCTCTATATATGAACATTGAGATGAGATGTTTAGATGCCAATATTCAGGTAGGACTTTAGATTTTATACAATGTGGTACGATGGATTGACTGATTTCAGATCGTGTTTTAAAACATTTAGTGCCTTGAAAGAGTATTCATATTCCTTGAACTTTTGCTCGACAATCACAACCTACGAAGCGGGAATTTATGTAATAAACAAAATAGAGTAAAATTGGGAAATGAAATGATAAATGATTCATGGCTTTCAGAATAACAGCATTCACCTGTGTGTGATTTACTCTCTCAGCATAAACCAGCTGTTCTGTGAGCCTCAGAGGTTTGTTACAGAACATTAATGATCAAACATGAAGACTAAGGAACGCACCAGCCTTGCCGGGTCTAAAGCTGTTGAAAAGTTTAAAGCAGGTTTAGGTTATAAAACGTCCTAAGTTCTGAACATTTCAGAGCTTTTGATTAGATCAACTGCAGAAACAGACCTGAAGAGTGAGAGAGGTCTTCACAGGTTCTTTTACTTTCTGGCTCCATTGCGCTGTCTTTACCATCTAACTGGTGTTTCTTYTCCATCTCAGCCTTCATCTCCATCTTTTCTGAAGGTAAGTCATCCYTGTTCGGTGAAGCTGAAACTTCTGGGTTGTTACTTCTGGCATTGTTGGTGATTTGTGTTGAATTGTCTGGGGCATGGTGGTTCACCAAGGTGGTAAGGACATTTTTGAAGCCAACAGCTAAGTCAAACATCTGCAGGCTCTCTGCAGCGGCCACAATGCGGTTGACRTTGTGCTTGCCTGGAGGTAACTTTCCTGTGTAGACCATATCCAGGAGATACGCAAACTCCTGCGAAGAAACTACAGTGGTGTCGATGGAGATGGTGTCGGAGCTGTCGAGAAGAGACCTGACAAAAAGAACAATCTTTAATAAACCAACAACATAAATTATCTGTTTTTACTGTCTCYATTAGGTAAAGTTATTAAACAKCATGGGATAAATTTCCGTTTTTATGCTGAYGATACTCAGTTATATTTATCCATGAAACCTGATGAATGAATCCAACCAGTTACTTAAACTACAAGCATGTCTTAACAACATAAAAACCTGGATGACTTAATTTTCTGTTTCTAAACTCAGATAAGACAGAGGTTGTGGTTTCTGGACCTGAACATCTTAGGGATCAACTTTGCAGCCTTTCACCTCCTCTTGTAGCCAAGACCAAGTC